GAGATTGATGATCATTGTGATGAATTCCATTGCACAGAGGGCAGGTATAGGGTACAGAGTGATCCATGTCTTGCAAGTATTTGCTCACCAGCAGGAACGAGGGCAAGGTGTTGTGGAAAACCCATTGCACAGGGTTCCACGCACAAGCCTCTGCTCACCAGCAGGAATGAGAGCCATGAGTCGTGGAAAACCCGTTGCACAGGTTACCAAGCCTCTGCTCACTAGCAGGAACGAGAGCAGTGTACCACTGCAAACAACCACCTGCAAACAATCACTTAGCAAACATCCATCTCAGCTAGGCCCAAACCCCCAGACCAAGTCCCTTGTGATATTCAGGGTCTCAGTCTCTGTCCTTGAGACGGTTGTGAGACAGATGAGGGAAATCTTCAGACCGTCTCTTACACTCTCCCAAGTGCAATTTGCAGGCTGGCACCAGTCTGTGCTTCTTGTGCCTTTGCTGCACAGCTCTACCCAAAATTCCAGCCACAGCTCCCATCGGTGGGGAAACGCTTCGATAGCAGCAGAGTCTGTGAGTGCTGTTGACGTTTACCTCTCCTCCTGTGGCAGTGTCGAGTGCTCTACAAACGTCCCCAAAAGTCCTAGAAACAAAACAGCAGCAAAGAAAGGAGAAACCATTTAGATCTTGGAGTGAAAGCCAGTCCAGACAGGAGATCTCTGCTGTAAATGCCTAAAAGCTGCAGGTTGTAGGAGAGGTCTGCCAGAAGGCAGATGATGCATTTTCCCCTCAAGTGCATGGGCACTGGGCCTGCTCCTGAAGTGTTCGGCTTTCCTACCTCAGCTCAAAAGGAAAGCTTATTCCTTCATCTCAGGTATCAGTTTCTAAACTGTGCAGTTCTAATCCTGAGCATGGAGTATTTCCTTTAGCAAACTCTTGGAAAGAAATGCTCCTGAGAACTGTTATCTGACAGCTCTCATTGGCGGTAGCTTCTTCTCCTTTTGTTAGTGTGGATGTATGATTTGGAGATATGCAAAAACGCTAAAGAAATTAACACGGAGCTGTCCCACACTTGAGAGACACGGCTGTCTTCTTCCACATCCTCCTCCTTGCCGCAGGCAAGAGCATGGAAGCATGGAGATGTCTTTGACAATGTTTTCTGACCACACTTGCCAATTTGAGCCAGCACTGAGAGATGGGACAATCTATCCCCAGTGTCTGAACATGTTTGCAGCTTGTCTGTCTTCACACTTGATAGATATTCCACCAGTGAAACAACACCTGGCCCATGATTTTGGAGAAGTAACTGGGGTTGGACTCACCCACTGCCAATATTTTCCAGTTCAGTGTACTTCGTCCTGGGATTTTCCATGTTCACCATTTTTCCTGAGGGAAACAAAATGCAAGATGCTCACTTTAAAGCAGAGATCCCAGTTTCCAGGAGATATAAAAGGCAGCCCCAGTGCCTGGGGTTCTGAACCCTTTGTGGCTGGGTAACAGCAACAGCAACCACACAGACAGCTCTGCAGCACAGACAGACGGGCAGCACAGAGACTCATTCTCTACAGCAGTTCCTGTGGGGAGTCCAAAATGTCCCTGTGACATCAAACTGTGGAGGATCATTTGGTACAGCTTTGCTGGCACGTGCACACAATACACTGTCCCTTGGATAAGAAATACACAAGACATACTCAGTAGCTCCAGGGAGTCATCCTTGCTCTTGTGTTGCTGAGCAGCAGCTGTATCAGTGCTGGACATGAACAATCTGCCTGGGCTCCGCTTCTCAGGTTGGGAAACAAAGGCTTCTTTGCAGAATACTGATGCTGCAGGAGGTTCAGTGACAGAGCCTGTGTAGATCTGAGACAAGAAATGAGTTTTGAAATAAATTGGGTAAGACTAGAGGTCCTTTTTTAATGCCTTTATTCTAAGAATCAGCTTAGGCAGGGGCCCGAGAGGTCTTGCACACCGCCACTGCTCCCAGATTCCACGCAGAGGAGGAGGAGGTTGACTTTGCCACACGGCAGAGTCGGAGCTTCCATACTCACGGGAGTCTGCAGGAATGCTCTTCTTCTTTGGCTCAGAGTCTAGGATGTCATCCTGATCATGTTCCCTTGTGGTCATGTGAGCACTTGGGAGGATGTCAGGGGACTCCTCTGGGTCTTCCTCATTTGGTGGTACTGATTTTATTTTTTCTTTTTAGTGTGGCTCATTGGCTCCGGGTTCTTATCCGTCTGTGTGCGTCCCATGTGTCTCTGGTCTCATTTACATATAGTCCCTTATGTCATCCTCCTCCTCAGGGCCAGGGGTGCCATTTTTGGGAAGCAGCAGTGGCGATCTTCCAATGGGACAGGGACATGACAATGAAGAGTAAGTACAACTAATACATAACATAAGAAAAGAATTAACAACTTGAACTTCGGATAAACAACTGGTTTACAACAAAACACTAACCAAGGTTTAACATTTGCATCCAGGTTCTCAAAATTGTTTCTCACAAGTTTGTGTCAGAAAGCTGGCTGGCAGAGATTACCCTGAGATCCCATTTCAAGTGCAAGCATACAGGGCTCTTAAAATGGATTTTTTGAATGCCCACTTTTCCAATTGCACAGGTCAAAACCAAAGGTTGGTTTTACTTGAGTTCATGGCCAGATTCATGTTAAATTTTCCTAGATTTTCTGAAGGATGACTGCAACAATGACCATTCCACTTTCGCCCAAGGATTCCTTTCTCCCTCCAAGGGCTGCAGACACATTTGCAGCTCCTTCTTCAACTGTTCTACATCCTCCCGCTGAGTCCACTTTTCCTGCACCTTCTTTGACACATGCTGAATCTGCAGCTTCTTTGATTTTGGCCGTTCCTGTGCCTCACATCTGTCATGGGGTGACTTTACCTTTAAGATGGTTTTGGGAGCTAAGAAGTTGAAGCTGCTGGTGGCTGATGGGAGTCTTTTTTCCTGACCAATTATCAATCATTTCTAAGAATTGACAGCAGTTTTGACCATTAAAAAGTGAGATCAACTTGTGAACACCCCCTTAAGATGTAAAGTCAGAGCTCTCTAGTTCTCTTTGGGTTTCTGGCTTCTGACAAGGTAAAAAGGCTCTGTCTTGGCCTCCTCCCCCCACCTCCAGGCCGAACAAGGCCGCAGAGGGCGGGGGTGGAGAAGCAGAGCCGGCCACCTTGGCTTAGTTTTCAATTTCTGTTGCTGGACTGAAACTTGACACCATGAACTCTTGCAGCTTTTCTAAGACTTTAATAATTTTACTACCTGGATAAAACGTACAGATTACTCCTTTTTCCCAGAGAGGCAGAGAGAGAGACAATCAACATGAAGAAGACATCATAAAACCACCAAAAACAGTGAGGAAAAGAGTTAAGTTTTAGATGGGGAAGAGAGAATAAGGAGATGCTTTTTAAGCTGAAATATCTTTCTGTTAAAGCTATGGAGATGGACAATAGTGTTTTGAAAATACTCCTTTAATTCATGACAGAGTATATTGGGAGGAATGGAGTGTTCAAAGTGTGGATTTTGAGCAAAAGAGAGAGTAATGGTGATACAGTGAAGTGCTGGAACAGAGTGAGGCGAAGATTTGAAGCTGTTTGAGGCAATGAGAAAACTGTTTCCAGCAAAGCTCACAGAGACAGATGAAGAAGACTTTTGCCTTTGAATAACTCATCCTTAAAAATGACATCCCTAGACTCATTTGACCCATACACATCTCAGAGTGATGGAAAATGGGAGGAGTGAACTGATGGCAGATTTCCGAGCCGCTGGCATCGGAGAAATAGAAAACTATAACAAAAATAGTTTTCTCATGAGAAACTCCATAGATTAGCAGAAGAAGACTTCTGTTTCTCTACAAAGGCTGATGAAAAGACTCTAGCAGGAATTGGGACTGTTTTAACCACCAAAGTTCCAAAGCTTTTTTGTCTCGATGTTGTCACATGTACAAGAGAATGGTTGGGTAGTGGGGGATAAAAGGATTTTCTGGAAGTTTATTCTAGTGTTTTTATTCTTGTAGTTTTGTTAATAAACTTTCTTTATTTCTTTTTAAGTTTTAAGCCTGTTTTGCTCTTGTTCTAATCCATATCTCACAATAAGAAATAAGTAATTTTTTTTAGTTACTGCTTTAAAACCACAACAACATCCACCTTGGGACTCTTCATCTCCACTCATTTGTTGGAAGCCTTCGCAACCTGGCTCGTGAGATGTCAACACTTCCACCTCAAGTCAAACAGAACAAAACAGTCAGAGACTACAGCTTGGCCCTGTCAGCCAAGAGTCATTGACTGTGAGGAAAGAGACAGAGCAGGTTTATAAGAGCTACAGACAGCTTGTTTCAATCCCCCCTCTGGGTCACCATGTTCTCCTGTAAAAACATCTCAAGAAACAAGGCCAGCAGGAACAGGCCAGCAGGAATCAATTAGGATGACTGCTGGCCAAAAGGCCAAAGGATTAGTCCCATTGCTCAGGGCAACATTTGAGAATCAGCACACCAAGAAATGCCCTTCAGAGTGGCTGTGATAGACACTACAGCAGGATGGCACTCAGAGGCATCCCACTACCCCTCTATGCTCTGCAGTGGAAAAGTGAGAAGGGCAGAAAACACCAGACTGGTGACTGCAGTGTCTATTGCTGTTTCACTCACTTGCTTCTGTAGAGTCTGAGGGAGGGGACTAAATTTCTCTCTGATGGTTTTCATCCTACAGCCTCTTCGCCCTTGCTTTGATCCTAGCCTCAGTTTCCGGCAACTCTGCCTGCAGCTTTTCCTTGATGTTTTGTAAATAACAAGAAAGAGGAAATTTCATGAACGGAGTGACTGCCACTCTTTCACTACCCTGGTTTCACTGATCACCCTTCTGCCAATGGAGCCACATTTCCTCTTGGATGCTTCTCATGCTTTTCTCATGCCTTCTTTTCATTACCATGATGTCACTCTGAGCTTCAGGCATCTCTGCTTGTGGCTCTGCCTTGATGCTCTGTAGACACAGATGCAGAGCAAGTGACTGGGAGCTGCCATCAGGCTCAGCTTTTCCCTCTTTCACCTTCAAATCACATTTATTCAGTCACTTTTTTCTGCTTCCCTACCCACCTCTGCTTCCACTGTAACCCTCCTGTCCCAGTACTGATCTCTGAAGATTACAAGGCTCTGTGCTTTCAGTGCCTCGGGGACTCCAGGCCTCCTCAGTCCCAAGAGCTGTGTTTTATGCCCCTCTTCCTGCCCTGCACTCTGTCACCTGCTGAGTCAGGCTTACCTGGCCATTCTCCAGTGGCTCTTTCACCTGCTGCCCAAGCTGCTCTTCCTGCTCTCGGCCCGGGGAACAGATCTCCCTTAGTTTGGCATGGCATCTCTGACAAAATAATCTGCTGATACTCTTTCTCCAGAAAGACCTGCACAGAAAGCAAGAGAAAGAGGATGGGTTTCAACTTCCCATAAAACATTTGTGGGCCAAGACTTCAACACTGATGGGCTCACGTGCCCAAAGCACTGTGCTGCTGCTCTCCTCAGTCATGCCATAGGGAGGCAGAGATTCCAAAGTGACATTGGCTGTACAATCAGAGTCCATCTGGGTCTGAATCCCCAACAGACTCTTGGGCAGCTGACAGGAAATGTGTGCCATTTCTCAAGGGTCTGCTGAGGGCCTCCCTCCCCTTCTGCTCTGTCCTCTTTGTCTTTCCATAGTCACTCACACTCAGCCCTGTCCCACAGCTCCATCCTGGCTCTGCAGGTGGCTTCCTGTGTGATTTCATCCCTTGTGAGAGACACTTGTGGAGTTCATGTTCTCTTCAGACCTGCACCACCATTCCTGCCTTTCTGACATCTACACTCTTGTTAGAAATCCTGCTTGTTCAGGAGATAAGGATGTGTGCAATTTGATCTTCTGATGGAGGTCAGAGAGCCCCTATGGCCACCTGAGTATATGGAAGAGGACCAAGGTGTTTGTCCTCCCTCTTTTGTCAGCTGAGAATTCTGAGCGGCACTAACAGAGATCCTCCAAAGGCCCCATCAACAAATGAATTGACACACCCCTAGGGATGCCAATGAAGGAAACCATCTGTCATGTATGACCAGAGTCACCAAACTCCACCTATGCAGTGTTTTAGATTGACCGATTTAATTTCCTGGCCAATGCACTAAATAATGTGGTGGGTTTAGTGTTGGCTAAAATCACCAGTGCACTTACTCATTTCTTGCTGTGAGATATGGAATAGGAGGAGGTAAAAACAGGCTTAAAACTTATAATATATGTAGAAAACTTTATTAACAAACTTAAATAATAATAAAAATCAGGATGAAAACCTTCAGAACACTTTTCCTCCCCCCACACAACTCTTTTCTTTCCCAAGAAAATGACAATGTAGAAACAACACATGGGATTTTAAATCAGTTACCAATTCTACAACAGTCTTTCATCAGTTCTTGTAGGGAGAGGAATTTTCTCTTGCCATGCCATGGAGACTTCTCAACAAGAAACAGTTCTCTTGTGGCTTTTCATTTCCATGAATAGCAGCTGCCCAGGGAAAGATCTGCAATTGTGAAATTTCTCCCATTTTCATAGCCCTGCAACAGTTGCGTTCATGGACGATATCAAATTATGGGGTATTATTTTAAGGATGAGCTGTTCAAAAAGCAAAGGTTGTCTTCATCTATCTCTGGGATCATTTTTCTCTCTAGGAACAGAGGCCTTCTTGTTCTCTCCCTGGAGAAAAGGGTCTTCATCACTCTCTCTCTCTGTTCAAGCTTCCCATGGAATCAGTCTCTTCAGCATCTAGTTTGCTTCATCATGGATGCCTT